ACATCTGCTCCGTCGCTCAAACATCAACGTCGTCAGGGCTGGTTACAATCCCTTGGTTGTTGTTGCCTGGTGGCGCGGCCGCAATCCTGGTCTGGTGATAGGGTTGTGAGCATAAATGTGAAGTTTGCAGCAACAACAGACGCATTTGCCAACCGTTTGCTCTCTCTGCCTGTTGTTGTTGGAATGAGTCTATTGAGATATTATTTCCTACAGGTTTTTCTGTTTTGTTTACACGGTGCGTTGAGAGGCGGGCGTCTTTTGGCGAGGGTACGTTTTTTGGTGATTTGTTGTGGGAGGTTTTCCTTCGAGGCTAAGTGAGTAACGACGCCCTCTTGGCCAATCCCGAACGGGTTACGGCACGGCGGTTCTTCCGATTGGGTACACCGCGCAGAGGCAGGAGGTCGGCCAATTGAATTTGCATGCGCGCAGCTGGATTTGAACCCGCTATCCGTTCGAGCTCGAATTTAAGTGGAACGCCTCGACCACTACACCAGGGGCCGACCCCCGCTCTCTCTGCCTGTCCTGCATCTTGTAAGCTTAGCAACTTTAAGTATAAGCACCGGGCGACTTCGAGGATACGACAGTAGTTCTCGTGCAGAGATCTGCACGGAATTTTTCGACCCACCCAGCCCAGCCCATTGGTTGAAAAATATTTTTCGACCCACCCAGCCCGGCCCATGGGGTCTTTCGACCCACCCCATTGTCCGGGCAGGTCAACCCAGCCCAACCCGACCCATACCCATTGACCCATGGGTCAATGGGTCGAATGTAAAATCTCCAATCAAAACATTTGACGACGAAGAAGAAAAGAGGAGGTTTGGTGCTGGTGGAATACAAGCGTTCAGAAAGAGAGAGAATAGTGTGTTGCGAGTTCAAATGTCAGAAAAGCGATATAGGTGGCGGATACAAAAGGGGAATTTTCGCAGCAAGTAAACAGAGGGAGCCTCACATATTCTTTTTGTCTTTGAGGAAGGAGCGATGAGACAAAATGTCGTCGGCGACGCCAGGCTTCAGGCGATTGCGCAGCTTCGTGATAGTGATGCCAGCATCCGAGAAGTTACTTTCGGACTTGGCACTGGACGCAGGCACGGCGAAGACACACCAAACGACGAACTGAAGCGCAGGCATACTGGTTTGTTTCTTCCGCCACTCGAGTACGGAGTAGGAGATGCGCTCTTCGGGGGCAACTTTCATCGCCAAGTAGCGCTCATCTCGTTATCCACGCAGCTGGCGCTGGAATCCTCGGAGCAGAGGGTCACACATGCGCGCTTCGCTGCCTTCTTCGCCTCCGCGTTCACCGTGGGGGTCATCGCGTGGTCCAAAATGCTGGTCTGCGTTGTTGGTGCCGGGCACTTGTGGCGGTTGAGCGAGCTTGTACCAAATGCGGATTGCATGGTGAAGACTTGAAAGCACTGCTTGCATGCCACAAAGTAGCATCCAGGGGCTGTGTTTATCGCAGCCTTAACGTTGTCCTTGAGCACTACCCGAAAGCGGTCCCAGCACATGGACGTGGCTTTCGGTGGTTTCCCCAGCTTGAACTGGGGGTTGCGCAAGGAAAGCGCGCGTCCGATGGCTCTGGCCTCCGTAACAAGCTCGAGCTTGTTGGGCATGTTGGGCACACGTTGAGAGGGAGTCGTAGCGGCAGGCGCAGAGCTTGGTCCGGTAGACGAAAGCAAGTCACGGATTGAGGACATGAAGATCACCGCAAGAAGACTGAAGTGTTGTCGAGAGATGACAAAACTGAGGTCATAATTCACACATATTAGCTGTCGGCATTCACGAGGCGGGAGTCGGCGGAGCTCTCGGTGGCATGACCGCATCACGCATTCAGAAGCCACGAGTCGTCATGGGACGTCGTCGCCATTCGCTGACGATTACGTGATCGAAGCTGGGTCGGCATGGGTCACCCGGACCCAACCCATGTTTTTTTCGGGCCGACCCAACCCAACCCGGCCCACCACAATTGTTTTTCGACCCACCCAGCTCGGCCCACGAGCCCGGGTTGGGCCGAGCCGAGTCATGGGTCATGGGCCAATGGGTCATTTTGCAGATCTCTGTTCTCGTGTCAACGTTAATATAAAGGCATGGCCGACCAGTCTACTGGTAGCCTGCCTTGTTCTCGTTCAGAATCTTGTGAAGCTTGTACGACAA